TCCTTATTCCAATTATAGTATAATGGGCCCCACAACCCTATTCTAATTAAGAAGGCCCCTATATTATAGTCCTTCTGTAAGCTTTGGGAGTTGGCTTTCGGCGGGTGGGTTCCGGGTTGTAGAGTACCGAGTTCAAGTCATTCCAAGTCGCCTCGTGACCAGTAACTCAGTCGGAGAAAAGACGGGGCAACAAAGAGACACCAAGCAAAAGCACGAGCAGATGCAGACAAGGTCATAGCTTGCATACGGTCCCGCACTGGCTTCGACGGCATCCCGAAAGAGAACCCTCCAAAGAACACCCGGTGCCAAGGACCCTGGCTGTGGTTCATTCGATCTTGGGAAAAGGCTGCCTGGCGAGTATTGGAGCTTTTCTTTCCTGCTGGGGATGTCAGCGGAGCAGGTAGGATACCCTCAAAGCTGCAGCTCGAAGACTCTGGACTCTTTTGGGAGTAAACCCTAACCCCTAAACCCATGAAGATTCTTCGGAACTTGATCTGGATGGTGGGATGGGTGGGGCCTCCTCTTCTGAGTCCACTGTGAGCCGAAACCGTTCGACCGAACGTAGCCGTAGCCGGGACTCTTAATAAGTGAATGGCCAGTGGTCAAATCACAGTCGTCAGTTACTTAGTGTAAGCCCGCAAAGAGGCAGGCTCCGACTGCTTTGCAGAAAAGGAGCCACTACACTTTCAAAACAAACCTAAACCCTAAACCCTAAACCGTACAGCAGCCTATTCGAGGGCTCGGGCTCGGCAAACGTCTGAATGGTGTTGGGGGCACGTTGCGAAGGAGAGTTGCAGGTTTCTTCAGGGGCCTTAATAGTTACCTATACTATTTTGGGTTTAGGGTTTAGGGTTTAGGGTTAATAATTACCTATACTATTTTGGGTGTTCTTTAGTACAATTATAGTAAACTGGGTCCCAAAACCCTATTCTAATCATTAAGGCCCCGCCATTACTGAGTATAGGGTAGGACTCCTCGCCCTTGGTGGATGGCTTGGGGATTGAAATGCGTGCTGGCGAAAACGAGGCTGACAACTGGAACTCAAGCTTTGGGACCTCAGATCCAGCCATGGGCGCCATAATAATTAGACTAGGGTTTGGGGTATATTATATTATAAACATACAATAAGGAATCCCCCAAGACCCTCTTCTAATTATTAAGGCCCCTACATCCTAAACCCTTATGGTAGCCCTTATAGAACCCCTTATAAGGAACCCTTTAAAGGAACCCCAAAACCCTATTGAAGTTATCAAGGCCCCTACCCTAAACCGTAAACCCTAAACCCTAAAACCCTAAACCTCTATTCTACAAGGAACCCTTTAAAGGCCCCTACATTACCACGGCTTCGGCTTCCAACCCTATTGAAGTTACCTAAACCCTAAACCCTAAACCCTAAACCCTTTAAAGGAACCCCAAAACCCTATTGAAGTTATTAAGGCCCGCCATAACTCCAAGGCTCCTTGACCCTGGCCACCAGCATTGACAAGTCCCTGGACCTCTTCGCCAAAGTGCTGGCGGCGTGGACTTCGAGAGTGTTGTGCTTTTTTGGTTTAGGGGTTTAGGGGGTTTAGGGTTTGGGGTTTAGGGTTTAGGGTTTTGGGTCCTTTTTGGTGCGTGTTTGCTGGTGGATTCGATTATGGCAACCGGTAACTTCAGGGGATGAGGTCCCGTGGGGTTTAGGGATGCTTGCAAGCCGTTGCACGCATCAAAGCCACAATATCTCACTATAATCTGGGAGCCTAAGTAACTAGCAATACTATTTTGGGAATTCCTTAGGATGATTATAGAATAATGGGCCCCAAAACCCTATTCTAATTATTAAGGCCCGTATAATACTTGTACATCATATCCATTGAACCAGCTCCATCCTCCAGTTCCGCCCGTACGTGGTCATCGTAGCGTTGAAGGACATCAAAGTGTTTCTTCCGCGTCTGTGCCCTTCTTCTGTCGCGCGCGAGTTTGCCATATAGGTGTAGGCTTACAGCGCCATGTCGTCCCTTTGTTACTCTGTTCATCCTGGTTTGCCAGCCCCGGCTTTCTTGATGATGGAGTTTTGAATAGATCAGAGAAAACGGATGGAAGATTTGAAACGCAGTATCGCAATGCCCAGATTTATTATGAATTATGATGTTTCAGTTTTAGAGGCGATTAAGGGCGAGATTCAACTGCTAGCTGTCAGTGTGGAAAGATCCCCACAACGTTGTCGCAGTTGTGGTGTTTTGCATTTAGGTTTGCTTTTGCGGCTTCGAGGAATACAGGTGGTTTAAAAACAGGCTATCCCAAGCCACGATCTGAGTAGAGATTTGCAGCGGTTGGGACTGGGACGGTCATGAGTTTGTGGTGTTGCGGGGTTTTAGGTGTTGATTGGATACCCAGAGGGCCCAATACCCCTTAATTAAGGAGTATACCTTAAATCATAATATTAAGTCCCCAATAATTTAAGGTATATTCCGTATTTAAAGGGTATTGGCTCTCTGGATATGTGATCAGATGACGGTATCATTTTTTTCTGACATCGGGGTTTATACAGTGAGCCTAAACCCTAAACCCTAGGACATGATTGGCCAGAGCACCATCTTCGTCTACGGCCTCTCCAGTGCGCTGTCCTTCGCGGCGCCTCGGTGGGGTTTAGGGTTTAGGGTTTAGGACTTAGGGCTGAGAGGGGCGAAGGCTAGAGACGCACTTCATAGCAGAGCTATAGGCAAAACCCCGTGGACTTGAAATCCACTCATGCACGAGCTTGTCCCAAGAAAATCCATTGAAAATACCTCCAACCCCAGCTCACCCTAAACCCCTAAACCCTAAACCCCTAAACCCTAAACCCCACCTAAACCCTAAACCCCTAAACTTGCCGTGGGTCTTTGAAACCTCGGACCTGTTAAAAGACCAGGTGCTGCGTGTCTGGCAGCCCGGGCAGGGGGCACCTTTGGTGGCATCATGAGGTCGGTTTAGAGTTTAGGGGTTTAGGGGTTCAGGGTTTAGGGTCTAGGGATTTAGGGGTTTAGGGGTTAGAGTTTAGGGATTTAGGGGTTTAGGGGTTTGGGTTTAGGGGTTTAGGGGTTTAGGGGTTAGGGGTTTAGGGCTTTAGGGGTTTAGGGCTTTAGGGTTTAGGGTTGGATGACCATGCATAAGTAGGGCAGTGGCTGGGAAGCTTTCATTTTGGAAACAGGATCGTGTGTCTCGGACTCGGGTTGGTGCATTGCGCTGTTGCTTGTCTCATTGCCGGCGAGACTCCGAGGATGTAGTTGTTTACTTGGAGGATGATGGGACTTAGTAACTAGGGTTATAAAGAAGGTAACTATAATTATAACCCCAATTAGGGTACTTATAACCTTACTTACCCTAGTTCTGGAGCTTCGAGATTCGTGTGCTTTCAGTGTCGGAAAACCTTCATACACTCACCGAACAGCCATCAGCGCCTGAAGCCTTAAAACCTCGAGTAAAATCCTGAAGTTTTAGAGAACTCAGAGACTCCAATATCCCTTAATTAAGGAATATACCATAAATCATATTAGGGATCCTACTATAGTTTAAGGTATATTCCTTAATTAAGGGATATTGGAGTCTCTGGGTAATTATGGAAATCGAAACTGAAGACTCCAGTCACGTCGGCCGATTTCGGGAGTCAGGCTCTTGGGGGGGCGCAGTGCTCCAGAGCATACCCAGAGAGCCCAATACCCCTTAAATAAGGAATATACCCTAGATTATAATATTAAGGCTCCTATAATTTAAGGCTTATTCCTTATTTAAGGGGTATTGGGCTCTCTGGGTATACCCGACGACTTCCAGCTCGCGAGACCCCAGTTAAAGCATATGAGCTCACTGGACCGAAGGATTTCAGCAGCGACCAGCTCATGGCTGCTTCCCTGGGCGCGAAGTTGGACGAGGCCAGGGTACTAATACAGATGGAGGGTGTAGGAATCCTCAGCCGCTTACAAGTTGTTTCAGTATCTGGGTTTGGGGTGTGGCATGAAGAAGACATCTGGAATAGCACTTCACTGCTGCTTCGTCCGTCCTTGTCTTTCTGGTAATTATGGGTTTCTACGGACACAGGCATCCAGAGAGCCTAAGGGACCCCTTAAACAAGGAATATACCTTAAATCATAATATCAAGCCCCCTATAGTTTAAGGTATGTTCCTTATTTATTTAAAGGGTATTGGGCTCTCTGGGCTGCGGCCCAGTTATTGAGATTTGCAGTTCCACGGCCCACGAGGCCAGCTCCAGGA